AGACACTAAAAAACGTCTGAATAAAATGAAAATTCGTCGAATTTCAAACGTGAATTAAGTCATTTAGGCACTTGTTTGTCTGAAATTCAGACAAATTTTCATTGCATTCCATTTTTAGTGTTTGAAAAAAGTCTACAAAAGGTGCGTGAAATTCAGCCATTCTTTTTTGCTGCGATCTCTCCACGGAAAAAAAATTGAAACAATTGAAAGAGACGTCAGGACTCACAGTTCCCGGAAGATCCAGCAGAACCCCTGGAAAAAAATGACAATATCCACTCAATTTTTCACGAGGAATTTTCCCTGATTCCCGTCTGACTAACATAGGAGGAAAGATCTAACGTAGGAAAAAAATCACGGATTAATCGTTATTCCACCGGGAGCCCCTGTGATTTCAACCCATAGTGCTGTGTCACAGCTGCGGTAATCTCATAACATAAAACAAATAATCATTTAAATTAAAAAATTACCATTTAAACGCAGTGATGCAGTGTAACGTGAGCCTATTAATAGGCACACTATGACGTCTCACCTTGTTGGGGAAAAAATGTTCCCCAGGAAACTTCATACCCAAGTCAAGTCCATGCGCGCGTCATTAATGGTACTCATTAACACAATGATTATTTACGACAAACATCAAATGGATTTGTTGTTCGGTGATTGTTGAGGGGATTGGATACTTTGTGGAGTGATTGAGGGGATTATTTGCATCAGAATGTTGAATTGTCTGATGGAAATTCCGAATAAATCTCTCAATTTATTAAATTTAATAATTTAATAAATTAATAAATTATTTAATAAATTATTAAATTATTTCGAAAAATAAAGAATTTATTTACACTTAATAATTCTTTATTTGGATCCCATAATTTATTTATTTCGCGTAATTAAAGTGTTTTCAGTAAAATAAACATACAATTTAATTTATTTTCAAGAAAATAAATTGCTGAAATTAATTTTTTTAATTGATCTCAACGAATTTTCGTCTTGAAAATTGATTAAATCATGTTTTCTTTAATGAAAATTTTTTAATTATACGAAATTAATAAATTATGCGATCCAAATGAAGGATTATTAGCTGTTAATTAATTGGTTTTTTCGCAATAATTTATTACGGGGCAGAACAGACTGATTTTTTAAATTTTAGGTACAGATTTCTTTTCTTTTTGTTTCTATGGAAAGAAGTTGAATTTTTTGTTTCTTCAAACATTTGCTCATGAAAAATATTTTCATAATTTTTAATATTTCCATAATATTTCATAAGCATTTTCGTTAATTGAGGAATAATTTTTCTGGTGAAGTTCAACTCCGAATGAAGCTCTTGATTTGAAATTTTTCAATTCATTTCAACAATTTTATCATTGACAATCAATTTAATCACATATTTAAAACAATGACAATGTTTTAATTACACGAAATTAATAAACTATGCAATCCAAATGACGAATTATTAAATATTAATTGATTCGTTTTCTTCACATTAACTTATGCGGGGCAAAACAGATTATTTTTTAATTTGACGAAAAATTTTTATTCTTGTTCTATTGAAAAAGATTCAAATTTTGGATTTAAAAAGTTTTTTAATGTAAAAAATATTATTGAAAACACTTTTGTGGATTCAGCGATAATTTTGATTATGAAGTTCTATTTCAAATAAAATTCTTGATTTAAAATTTTTTAAATTTACTTCAACAATATTTTTATTGAAAATTAATTTAATCAACTATTTTGATTACAGGATATGAATAAATGTATGATTAATTAATGATTTGATGTTAATTAATTCATTCTCTTTATAATAATTCATTGCGGGGCAAAACGAATTTTTATTCATTTTCTATTTAAAGAGGTTCGATTTTTGGTTCTTCAAATTTTCAAATATGAAAAATATTTTTTAAATCACTTGTGTCGCTTCAACGATAATTTCGATTCTGAAGTTTTATTGGAAGTAACGTTAGATAGTCCCCTTACATAAGGAGTGCTAGACACCAGCCAATGATCGTGACGATGTGTGAAAAAATAACACATGTGTGACACTGCTGTCTGTCGTCACTCCATTGTACGGTAATTATGGTCTCCAGTGGAAAACGTTAATTGCACATTCAGTGCGATGATCTTAGCAGATCCAAGATTTTTCCTAAAGAGTCATCAGTCAATTATTCGAATTATGGAGAGGAAGTTTTTTATTGGAGTGAGAATGATATCCATTGCGAATATTAGTAACAATATTTTTGATGTTTTCAATACCAAATAATTACAATATTCGGAGTATTATTTACGATGATTGAAAGGATTTTTGATTTTTCATGAATTCTTTCATTTCTCCATTGATGAAAAAAAAAATTTTCATCAATCGTTTTTTTCTATTATTTGATAACATTTTCAAAACATTCAAGTTCAAATGGGATTCAAAGAAAATGGAAATAATATCTGAATTCTTGAAAATTTTTGGCTGAAATTTCCGGTACACTTCTTGGAAATGCTTATCATATTCTAGTTCCACTGAAATTTCAAAGGATTTTGTCATTAAATATTTCAACCTTTAAGGGAAAATCGATGGAATTAATAGAATTCAGAAGAAATGATAGTAAATATGTTCTTGAATTGCAAATTCGTAGAATATTCAGCTCAATTTGATGCTGTTTTCGTTGAAAATTCAAGGAAGCTGGAGAATTCTTATCTCGCTGTTGTTCGAAAATTCATAATTTCTTTGAGTTTTCAGCGAAATTTGAAATTTCTAATTTTTTTCCCCTAAATCGAATTAAGTGCCACTGTCTTAAGCACTCCTATTCAACAGAATTTTCGTTTTTGTTTCCAAATCGAAGGTTTGTAATCATCTAAATTGGAGTTTTGGATTGCGTTATAAAACTTAATTCATGTACATATATCAGTTCTCATTCCATTCATACAAAAATTTCAAGAAGAAACTAAATACAATTGATTGAAGAAGAAATATAATTCAATGGAACAAAATAATTTTCAATCAACTGAGAAAAAAATAGTTCTTCTGATAAAATTCTTTGGAGGAAAACAAATGCTCGTAGTTTCCATGCAAATTTCCAGCAGAAAGAAAAAAAATTGTCTGGCAGAACTATATTTTTTTCTCAGTGCATAAAACGATAAATGATGCACAATAGAATAAAACGATGCTAAAATTGAATATCACATCAACTGAATTTTCAGTGGATTGAAAATTCATGGGAAATGGTTTCAATTTTCAAATTATTTAATAATTTTCATTATCATGTGAACTTGAAAATAGCAATCTCATTGAATTCTCCAGAATTCAACTAATTTTTCAACGACAAAATAGACTGTTAAAATTTTCCGTCTGAATTTTCCGTGCGGAATTCCGGAAATTTTTATCGCGTTCAAGTTTCACTGAAATTTCAGGAAATCTTGTCATTGAAAAATCAAATATTCCATTGATTTTCTGTTCAAATCACCTGGAATCCAACAAAATACTTGATTTTTCAGTTCAATTATTCTGTGACAATTCAGAAAAATCATGAAAATTCAGAGAAAAATTGAAAATTCATGTCATTTTGTTTATGAATATTCATGTTCCACTGAAAATTCATGAATTTCCGTGAATTCTACTTTAAACTTCAAATTTCATAACCATTTGTTCCCTAAATTCGATTCAATGACCCCTTCATTAAATTTACAAACACTACATAAAAATTTCCTGTAAAATTTATTTTACTTTATCTATTCGCGTGAATAATTGAATTTCAGAGTAGAAATTTCCGGAATAATGTAACCCTCTAGTCAAACGAGACATTCCTAAAGAAAATAACTATCACAAAATTTGCCGGACTAATTTCCCCCTCATCAAAGCTAAAAAATTCGTTAAAAGATTATCAATAATGAATTTTTTTTGGCACTTCAAATTTCCTACCTATCCTGCATTTTCGCCAAAAACTTCACCCCC